TAATCCCTCCAGGAAGTGATGAGAGTTTGGGGAACACACCTCGGAGTCAGCCCACTAAAGTGCAAAGGGGCTGAGGGACTTACCCTCCACTCCTTAAGGATGGAGAGTCACTCCTAGGATGCTAACTCTTAGGTACTTCTAGTCCACCCCTGGGCTCCACAAGCTCCCACAGCCAGAGAACATCCTCAGGCAGGAAGAAACAGGAAGCTTTCTGAGTACAGGAGCACTCTCTGCAGGCAAACCCCAGGTACCGGGGCTACGAGGAAAGCACCCCTGGTGCCGAATACAACTAATCAAAGCTCCTCACGTGATGGTTGAGAAAAGGAGACGAGAGAAAGTGACTTATCCAATGTCACACACAGAGCTTGTTAGGGATACGACTGGAAACGATTATTTGACCCAACTTCCAGGCCAGTAATTTTCTATGTTACACTCTTATTTACATTCTCTATGTGATGGGATCTCCACAACAAACACTGTACCAGGAACAGTTATTTCTAAAGTGACCAAAATCACAATTGCTTACCTCCTAGCCTTTATAAACACAGAAATGGTGTAGGATCCCAAATGTCTTGAATCTCTGACAATAAATGCACCTTCTTTAGACTGCAAAGCAAATTCATTCATTGTACAAGGTTATTCCTTCTTAGGAAGAAAGGTAAACCTACATCTCAACAATGAAAACCAAAGCTATACTAACTTACTATAAAAGGATGATACTGTTTTTACAAGTACACAGAATCTCATCTCAAATCTTTATAGGTTTACATGTAATACCCATAAAATAAAATATAATTGGGACAAGAATTTGTAATGTGTGAGTATTTAAAACATTTTTGCTCCTGATTTTTCTAAGAAGAATTCTGCATCTGACAACCTTGTACCCCACATTTGGTTATTTTTGTTATACTGATAAAGATAATAGATAAAAATAACTGATGAATACGAGAACTCTGAGACAGACTGGCAGGGTTGTTCTTTAGAGGAAAAGACACAACATGGCAAGTGTGGGTGAGAGAGGCAGGGAGAAATACATCTGGAGAGAGGAGGAGTGGGAAAAAAGACCAAAGTTCATGGTATGGATGGAAAGAGAATAAACTTGGGCAAGTCTGGAGAGAAGAGTAAGGAGAGACATTTCACTTGCTCCAGGGGTAGGTAGGGAAAGGCAGAATGAGAAATGGCAAGAGGGAAGACTATCATAATAAGTTTGATGTTAGGTTATCAATTGGACCCCCCTCCATTGACGTGTTCTGGGAAACACCAATAACGCTGTGAATTGTTTTCAAATAAGCTTGAAGGTTGGACTGTTTTGTTCGGTTGGTTTGTTTGACATTGTTAAAAAAAAAAACGTTTCACCTTTATTAAGTGTGCTTACACTCATGAAGAGGAAAATATCTCAGGGGGAGGGTAATAGCTCAGTGGTAGAGCACCTGCTTAGCATACACGAGGTCCTGAGTTCAATCTTCAGTACCTCTATTAAAAAAAAAAAATCTAAAAAAATCATAGTCATTATATCAATAGACAAAAGGAATACAAAATAAGTGTATCCAACTGAAGAAGTTAAGAATTATAAAGTAAACCCAAGTAAGGTAGAAGAAAAGAATTAATACAGACAAAAGCAGAAAAAAATAAATTATAAAAACAAGAATATAATAAAGCTAATGATTAAATTCAAAATTTGCTTGTCTAGGGAAAATCAATAAAATAGGTAAACTGTTAATTAACCTAATCAATAAATAACGGGGTAAATCTATGAAAAAATAAGTCACAATGATCCAGAAAAAAATTTAAAACCTCCTTGACTCTGTGCAATAAATGTGAAAACTTGAATAAAATGGGTAATTAGCAGGCAAAACACAAAATTTATCAAAATTGATTCCAGAAGAGCCAAACGTTGAATGGATCTATGGAACTGAAAAATGGATAGTTTTTAAAGAGCTGCAAAATTAAAAAGCACTACAGTTACACATTGTGATGTTACTAAATCTTAAAGAAATCATAGAGAGACTGATTAAATGATCCAGAGCACATGGAAAGAAGAAAAACTTCTAAATTATACAAAGTGAGCTTAACATTAATACCAACAACACAGCAGAGACAGCCCACAAAAGGGAAAACTACCAACCAGTCTCTCCCGTATCAACGAAAAACTCCTAACTAAATAGTAACCAACAGAACCCAGCAGCATGAAAAAAGAACAATACACTGTGACCAAGAGAGATTATGTACAGGAATGCAAATGTAATCTAATATTAGGGATTTTATTAATATGATACATCATATTAAAAATCCTAGAAAAAAATCCTATGAGTATCTCCATAGATA